GAAGTTACAATAATGGAGTATTATCTCTGAATCTGTCAAATGTTTATGGACTGGACATTGTTAATGTAATTGACTGTATATATTATATATATTTATTGTACTTATTGTATATAGTTTTTCTTATATTAGTAATAACCTTTTATTATTTTAGACAAAAAAAGGGAAATGTGGTTATATCTTGTGTAAGGTAATAAATTTGCCTGAAGATCAGAGAACAAGCCACTAGATTAAACATAAAAGCCAGGTAGTGGTGGCACACACCTTTAATCCTAGCACTCAGGAGGCGGAGATCAGTCTGGATTTCCGTGAGAGAAAAGACACCCTGGACTACATGAGACTGACTCACTCTACGAGAGAAACAGAGCCAGGCAGTGGTGGCACACACCTTTAATCCCAATACTCAGGAGTTACACACCCTTAATCCCAGCACTAGGAAAATTGAGACAGGATGATATGGGTGGGCAGAGAAAGGCAGATAAGGCATGAGGAGATAGGAACTAAAGTCTTTTGGCTGAGGAAGGCTTTTCCGGCTGAGTACTAGAGGTATGAAGTGGCTTGTTCTTTTATCTCTCTGATCTTTCAGTATTTACCCAAATATCTGATTCTGGGTTTTTTATTAAAGACCATTTAGCAATTTGTCTTACATTACAGTAAGGATATGTTCTTTTGTTAATCATGTTTTTGTTATGACTGCTTCCTCAGGATTCCTATTATATTTGAACCAAGATTCATGTTTAAAACAATGCAAGTGATGGAGAGTACCAGTCCTGAGCCCAGATAGTGAAGCTCTCAGACCTCATCAGAGATGTTTCTTCGTGCAATGGATAGCAGTTAACTCAGAAGTTCACAACTAGTCAAAGCGCAGAGACGCAGTGACTGTGGAGTGCTCTGCCACAAATGGGACAACTGTACCACACAGCTTGCCAAGACTCAGAGACTATCAAGGGGTGGTGGAGAGAGTAACAGCCAGAGACAGGGGAGGACAGGAGCAAAACAGTGTCTTCTGGACATCACAGGACTACTGCACTCATGAACTCACAACAGCTGCCTGCAAAACAGCAAACTAGTCAACTGTCTAGCTGGGATGCTATGGACAGCTGATTTAATTTGTATGTGAACAACAGAATGAGACTCAGATATGGCAGATATTTTGGAATTGTCAAAACTATGAATTTAAAATAATGAATATGCTTAGGGTTCTAATAGAACAAGTGGATAACGTGCAAGAACAGATGAGTAACAAGTTAGACCAAAGACTCTCTAGTTGCTCCTCCCAGTCAGAAATGAAAGCAGGCCTCCCAGCAGTCTGTAGGTTAGGACAAAGAACTGACAGGCTTCCTCTCCCTGCACTTCTCTCTGGGACACCCAGTAGAATAACAAAGCCTGCTGAACTGTGGCCTTGCTGCTGTAGGGTAAGTTATGGTCCTACCTAGTGCTGCATCTGCAGCTTATAGGTCAGGCCAAGCTAGACCCCTCCATATGGGGCCTGTCTACCTAAATGGGAACCTGTAGGAAGCAGAAACCCCTTTGCCTTGGGGATTTGAAGGCTATTTTCCTCAGGACTCATGTCATATTATACATGACAACCATCTCTTCTAAAGTTCCTTCCTGGGATTCTGAAGGGAATACTCTCTCCATCTCTCCTTCAAGGTCCCACCAGGCTGCCTACCTGTAATATGCTCTAGGTCTCCTAACATTCTCCTCCTGCAAGGTCCAATCATGCCCCCCCCCTTCTCCCCGCTCCCGCCACATACCCCAGCCAACTCAAGGGTAGTGAGGCTCTAATACAGCTCATTCTGAAGGGTAATCTCATGTCAGCTCCTTGCCATTCGCCTGCTTCTCTTTTTAAGTTATAACAGTAAACAGATGAATACTCAAAGAATCAATTAAATAACAAAATGAGAACCGGGTAGAGAAAAGGGTTGTTTTTAGCACAATGGGTAATTTGTCCAGATTTGTGATGCTAATAGGAAGATTGCAAAATGGGAAAATCAAGAAAGTGAAAAATTGGTAAATTCTTCAAGAGATATTTTACACGATCAGAAATAAATTCTAAAATAAAGATGAGAAATAACGAGTCACAGCAATAACTAAGTTTGAAACTTGGTTTTAATCAGGTAACATGGCTAATGTCAAAAAGTTACAGTAGCTCACATCTCGAATTCTGTCCTGTCCTTAACTATTCATCTGTTATAAATGCCATTACTTGAATTCCCAAGGAGTTTTCTAACATTTTCAGCTACTCTGAGTGCAAACTAGTGTTCCTAGGAAGAAGCCACACTTTACACTGAACACTCTACAAAAGCTAATTAACAGATTAAACCTTGATGACTGTGGAGAGGTTGGAATGTTGCGGGTCTAAAGCCTGACTACAATTGACCTTGCTATGGTTAGCCCCCTAATTGCCTTTCTCTGCCTACCTCTATGTCTGACCTAATATCCTTTAGATTACTAAGTGAAACCCTTTGAAATGTATACAGATTACTGATTTCCACCCACCAAATGGCCTCAAGAATGTTATTGATAGCTGTAACAGCGACTCCCCCACTCTGCTGGAACCTACCATCTGTCGTTTCCACCACTGCATGTAGAAGTGTATTGACTTATAAAATTTCATGTGATTTTACCATATTGGAGCATGGTATTTGGGAAAACCTGAATTTGTGTTCCTGGGCCATGGTCACTCACATTAAGTTCCAGAATAAACCATTTCTTATTCCCTTTGAAATGAAAGTCATGGTTGTGTATGTGTCTGTTTTGAATTAACAAGTGTTATATCATGTTTGTTTTAAGTTACATACTTTAACATCTCTATAAAGCCAAAAAAAGAAATTGGGCAAAGAAACCAGTAACCAGGTACTGATATGTATGTCTACTCATTTGTTCAGTTAACAAATGTGTACAGCTAGGTGGTGGTAGTGCACACCTTTAATCCCAGCACTCGGAGGCAGAGGCACGAGGGTCTCTGTGACTTCCAGGCCAGACTGGTTTATAGAGTGAGTTCCAGGACAGCCAGGGCTGATACACAGAGAAACCCTGTCTCGAAACACACACACACACACCCCAAATGTGTATTAAAGACATTCTTCATTCTAGGTAATAAGAGTCTACAGCAGTACACAAAAATAAAAATCTTTATACCCATGGGGATAGACTTTTTATAAAACATACAGCAAGAGTGAGGTTGATCCTGGGAAATAAACTATTATTTCATATATGGAGACATATGACAGAAATAAGTGAATCCTGAGGCTTATATGGCATATACTATTCCAAAGGACAGCAAATTCCCAGGGCCAGAAACGGGAATACTTGTGCGGGGGTGGGGGGGTGGGAGAATGAATGGGGGGTGTTACTATAATACTGGAGTGACAGAATCAAAGCCAGATCCTGTGGCACTTGGAAAAATGGGAGAACTTACTCAGAGGGAATGGGAAATGCTTAGGGAACTTTTGAGCAGATCTACAATGACTATCACATGGAGGCTGTTGGCAATCGGACTACTCAGCCAGCTATTCCAATGCAGAAATGACTTGGATGAAAGTGTTAGGTTTGGATTGCACAGCTACTTCAAAAAGTCAAAGTGGCCCTCATTACACAGCAGAATGTGGAACTACAAGGACTACACTTTACTGGAACAGGAATGACTGTATACTGGAAACAAAGGGAGTACAATGCAACAATGAAGATGAATTTTAAGCAGTCTACTGATTTTAAGTGTAGCCATTTCGTTTTCAGTGTTCTTGAGAGAGATCCTGAAGAGGATTAAAAACTTCTGAGTCATGACTATACATGACTTGGAAAGTCACAGGGCAATAACGAAGAGATCACCTGACCCCACAACATATATTTAGATAAGGGACAGATGGGTAGATTGGTAAACAATAAGCCTTTAATCCCAGCACTTTCAATACAGTTCCATGCCAGTCAGGGCTACACAGTGAGACTCTATCTATCTTTAAATATACACAAACAGACACACATACATAAAAATAAAAGCAGAAAACTAGTCACGAACCTAACGAAGACTGGGGAATGAGTGGTGAACTGGTAGTTAACTGAACCATTTCAAAACTCAGTAAGTGGTCACTTAGGTCAAAGCTGATGATGGGTTAGTTAACAACAAAAGTGTAAACTGTTGTTGGCTATCAGAAAGCTTTTTTGGTGAAGTGGAAGGGCGGCCTAAAGGCTGAGTACTACAATCAAGAGAGAATAAGGTTCTCTCCCAGTAACTTTCAGTAAGTTTAAATGGCAAACGATTAACTGAGCAGAGGATTGAAGAAAAGAGGTGGCTGGTTTGAGAAAACAACAAAATCACTGAAATGTGTGAAGATTCGAGAACATTTTAGTGGACATTCAATGAACCACTTTCAAGTTCTACGCCACAGGAGTCCACATATCTTTATGCTTTTCTTCTGGCTTAGCAGAATGTTGTAGGCATTTAAGAGTCTTAAGGCAAGCTGGCAAAAGGAGATTAAAAAAAAAATCCTCTGCCAGCGAACATATTAAAATTAGCTCTGGTTGCTCAGAGAAACCAAAGAGCCCGAGCGCAGCAAGGCTTGAAGTTGAAAGACCAGAGGAAAGAATACAAGCATAAGCACTTGGGAGCAACAGGAAGCAGGAGCCGAGCACCGCAGATGGGGTTCTATCAAGACCGAACTAGGCCCAAGGAGGTGGAGTGGCCTGGGGGCTACGCAAGATCGAAGGCGTTGGGAACCCCTTTCCAAACCGAGGGGCTGCCTCCGGGATCTAGAGGAATGGACCACGGATCTAGTGCGGAACTTACGTAGCAAAGCTGGCCTGCTTGCGGGTGCTCGTTGGAGAGGTAGAGGAGTACATAGTGGCGACCCGCAGACCAGGGCCCAGCGCCCTCTCCCTAGCGGCTTCTGCAGTACCGGGACCCCCAACCGCCCGCGGCAGCCGCCTTGGGAATGTTTGACGGGCGTCATGGCGACCGCGGAGCCCGGCTCAAGAAGCGGCCGCGCGGTTGGCTGGCCGCTCGAGGATGAGGAGGAGGGCGGAGGCGGAGGGGAGGGCAGAGGGTTGGTGGAGCTGGAGGAAGCTCGGGCGACGACTCGGAGGAGGCGGGCGGCCCAGGCCCTAGGCCCCTCCCAGGCTGCGAGTCTCCCGGCTGCAGGCGGATGGATGGGGCGTCTCCAGGCGGCGGCGGCAGCAGCGGAGGCGGCGGCAGCGGCGGTGGCTGTAAGTGCAGCCTCCACAAACCATCTTCCCTATCCTTCCATCGGAAAGCAGAGCTCCGGAGGCGCCCGCAGTCCCCTTTCTCCACTTCCCCTCCCCCCACGGCAGAGCGCCGCCCGGAAGACCCTTGACTTCCGGGGCGGGGTTGTCCCCCCAGTGTGGGCGGGGCGGGCTGGCGGCTTGGAGGCACTGCCTCCCCGTGCGCACGCGCAGCTGCCGCCCCTCCCCTGCCCGGTCTTTCGGCCTTGGCGGCGGCGGCGGCGGCGGCGACGCCAATCTTCGCTGCTTCCGCGGCACGCCGGGACTACGCTGCGGAGTGAGTTCGCCGGGCGGGCAGGCAGGCAGGCCAGCTTCCGCCCCATTCGGTCGGCCCTCGCTCCGCGGCAGGGGTGTGGCTTCCTGGCCACTCCCCCGTGGCTCCACCTCTGTGCCCCTGATTTTCCCCAGCTGTCCCAGCCAGTGGAGGGCTCTAAGGCAGAGCATTCCCCGAGGTGATGATGGGCTCAGCCTGGGTCCACCGGCCGTTGTCGGAGGGAGCTAAGGGGCGAGAGACTTGAAGACGGCATTGCAGGGAACGAGCCACTCCCGGTGCTCGTGCCGACCCCCCCCCCAAGCCGTCCCCCGTCCCCCCCGCGAGTGGCCTTATTCTTTTAGCTTGTAATATAGAGGCTCCTGGCCTGGTGCCCATCTCTGGTCCTTGCGTGCTGTGTGACCTTGGGCAAGTCACTCCCCCACGGGCTTCAGTTTTCTTAGATTAAATCTCCTCGATCTTTGTAATTCTGCAGAAGACCTTAGGCAGTTTTAAGACTGAGATGACCCGAAATTGACTAAACCTTTCCTAAATCTTAGGTGAAATACGGAAACCTAATTATCGGGTTCCTTTTTTTAATCTTTAGCATTGCTTACAAATTGCAAGACTCAATTTTTTTTACTTGTTTGCTTCTTTTTGCTGAAACTGCCATGGGGGGCGGTTGACCTGGTTTCTCAGACATTCTTTTTGAAAACGTGAGACTGGGTGAGCTTGTGGGAACACTGTTTCTGTCTCGTCCCTACTGAGGCTTTCTTTTCCTTTAATCCAGATGGTGTGGTGGCTCGATTCTCCCAGTGCCTGGCTGAGTTTCGGACGTGGTTAAGAACCAACTGGTTGAGGTTCAATGCAGACAAGACGGATGTGATGCTGGTAGGCAGGGGGACAATCGGAGACGAAGGGAGGGCAAAAGCGGACTCCCTCATGTGATGGAAACATCTTGATCACTGTCTGTTCTAGTGTTGTAGGACGGCTAGTGGCCAACCCTTTCAAGACTTCAGGGGAGATAAAAATAACCTCAGCGAGGTTAAGGATTATAAACTCAAGTTTGCAACATAAGGATAAAAAGGGGGCTGCTGAATGAAACTGTATGGAAAAATTACGAAAGGAACCCACACTGTCCTTTGAAGAGCCAGAGTTCTCTATGTGTTTTAGGATGGCATTAATACAAGAACTAACGAAGAGATAATTACTGTTGCATAGTTGTGAAGCCTCCAGATGTAATGTGCTGCTGTGCTTTGCATCCCGCATTCTGCCTACTAAAGTCAAGATAAATTCAATCTGTCTCAGATGCCATTCGAGAAAAAATTTGAATGTAGGTCTTTGGTCATCACATACACAGTGTAGGCTGTCCTTCCTAAATACAAGCTTTAGGAAATAGTTCAGAAAATAGTCTCCAAAGAGGACTCACAGACTTGGAGAATTTTAAGATCTTAGTTATGCTGTGTTCATCTGTATCAGTCAGAATTCTTACATGTATTTTCTTGGTGTACTTTGAGAGGTACTTTTTTGAGTTTCCCAAACAGATATGCCTATATAGCAGATATATTACTAGTTTTTGAGTCAGGTGTTGGTGCTGAATAAAAGGTTATACATATTAGGTAAATGTAAGTTGTTAAAGGAGTTTTTGTTGATTGAGGTACTGACTGAAGTATAACTGTGAGCCTAAGTATATTTGTTAGCAACTAAGTATCTCTGGAGAGTGTGTGCATGTTTGTGAATGCATGCATGCTTGTGCAGTATGCATGCACTCATACATGTGCCCCTTAGAGCTACTGGAAGTCGTTTAATAACTTTTTCTTATAGTATTGGAGCTTGAACCCAGGGCCTCACATAGTAGGCAAGTATTTTACCTCTGAGCTATACCCCCAGCTCTCATTTAACTTTTGCATGGAGAATTCATGGAGAATTGGCATAAAAGAATCCATTGCTGGATAGAATAGTTGTGAGCAGCTTAATGAGGTAAAAATTAATGTTAAGTTTCCCCAAAATAAGGAGGCTTTTTAGGTTTATTTAGGCCTTATATAGTGTTTTTTGTTTGTTTTGAGATAGAAAACAAAAACCTTGCATACGAGTTGGAACCAGCTACATTTTTTACGTTAACTTAAACAGTTTAATATAGAATGCTAACAGAGTTAACACTTTGCATGTCACATTAATAAATTCTGATGAGTTTGATCAGGTTATTGGTGAATTTTCCTTTGTGTTTTACTCTGCCATGACCTGTTTTCGGATACATGTTTGTTAGCCCAAGTATAAATTGACTGTTTGCACTTGAGTACGTAGATGTGTCTTGAATTTATAGGGTGCTGAAGAACTAGGGGTGATGGGTGAAAGTGAGGAAGTAGCTTCTGGCTTTTAAGACAGGGAAGACTGAGCCAAGCATTTGAACTGTTTTTGAAAAGAGCAGCCTCTTCAAGAGGCACAGCAAAGTCTCTGGAACTCCCTGGCAGATCCCACCTCTGACAAAGGACCTCAGGGCCCTGTGCCACGGGAAGACATGAGTAGTGAGTTCTTACCCACCTGACACCAAAGGGTAAGGAAGGGTTTTCAGAAGGACATAGCTCTCCGTGAAGGTGGTTTCTGAGGCTCTGAACGATGGGATTGTCGGTAGGGCGCAATGCAGGAATGCTGAGTTCAGCACTAATGAGTTGTGAATGACCTACTGTATTAGAGACGTTTCTCTTTCTCCAGAATGCCTAGAAAACACTGCGCTCCAGTGTATTTTTTCCAAGAGGAAATATTTAGAGGGAATATGTCCCCCCCCCCCAAGGATAATGCCATTTAACGTGAATACTATTGATTGGCAATATCAGTTAACTCAAAGGCGATTAGCAATAAGTGCCTATTCAGAATGTTACAGACTTGATGTGCTGACTTGAGAGCTCACTCCATAGCTGGAGGAATCTGAGTCTGCTCTTGACCACCGTTGGGATTTTTGTTGATGTTTTAACTGAAGGCTCAAAGACTCAAAGAACTAAAGCAAGTTATACTTTTGTATTAAATATCAACAATACTCCAACTTTCCTTTAGTGGCCAGCTAAAATTCATCTATATTAACCATTCATAATTTAGTGCCAAGTCCTCCTTCAGCACCATGGTATAGCTACCTCTAAGACCTCTATTATTTTTACCTGTGCCCACCTCTGGCCCACGCACGGTCATTGGTCATTGGTCTTTGCCTTTAGCTTTTATTCCATCTAGTGAGAACTATTTGGACAGGGACTAACATTTAAAAAAAGTTCAAAGTAGTGTCTTAATTTAATAAAACTATATATACATACATATACCTGTTCTAAATTATTTATTTCCCTTCAGGAATTTGTGGGGGGAGAAAGCTTTTAATCTTTAAAATAAAGTGAAAATACTGTACAGTGCAGTTAATGGTAAGAATTGTTTGTAGATTTGGGAACCTTAAAGTTTTCCTTTCTCTTCTTTCCCTTGCTTTTCTTTCAGTAGAAAATGTGCATCAGATGTTTATGTTTAATTGGTTTACAGACTGTCTCTGGATTCTTTTCCTGTCAAATTACAAGGTAATGTCCTTTCACTTAGCAGCTACTTCATATACCTGTAAATGCAGTTTATTCATGCACAAATTGTTATTGGGCTTAAGACGTTCAGGTTCATGTTCAGTGTTTAGAAATGGGAAAAGGCTTGATGAGATTTAGAATTTTAAGGAAATAGAAATTTAAGAAATCAGCATTCCCTCATATTACATTATAAGTATGAAGTTTAAGAAAGTTATGTATGTACACATTTGCACAATGCATTGTTAGTCATTGTATATTACTTAGAGGTAATGAGTATCATTTAACTGATTTTGGTAGTCATTTTGAAACTTCATTAAGAAAAATCCTTATTTAGGAAAAAAGCTGGTCTTTTGAGAAAAAAAGCTTTTTAAACTTCTGGTTTAGCAAAATATCTTACTGCTTCTTATAATATCAGCCTTAAATCTATTTTAGCCAGCATCTACTTTAGGACATTGAAATAAATCATTGGCCCTGGCCATTGTCAGTATGGACCTCAAGGCCATTTAGCAACCCCAGGCCAGTACATTAAAACAAACTTTCTACCTGCAGGTATTTTAGGCATTGCAAGTTAAGTAGGTTCTGTCTCCCTGCAGTCAAATAGACATCCATCGAAGAGCAGCTTTTCAATACTTTACATCTGAAACTTTCGTGTAGTTGTGCATAAATTCCTCCGATGCAGAGCTGTGTTGCTAGTGCTTGCAAAAAGTGAGGAAAAGCTAACATCCTCTGCTCTTCATCTTTGCGCTCTGCCAGTTTGGGCAGCTAGGGTTTTCTTGTCGGGAATCACCAGGGGAAGTATTTGTCGGGGCGCGCTTCGTGCTGCTGTTGTGTCCCGGCAACATCTGTTTTCTGGCTAGCACTCCAGAAGTGACCGACGTGTAGAATAGGAGGGATTTTTCCGCTTGCGGCGTGAGTGCCCCGCGGGGGCCGCCCCGGTGCCGAGTGGCGGCCCTCCGGCCCGCCCCTCGCG